TGGGTGATGTGTTAGGAAAAAAAACCCTCCTCCAGCTCACTGTCAAGTGCAGGAACCACTCACCTATTTGTGGAGGTTTGACCTGTACAGACATTGGCTGATGATCCAACCCACCTGCAGCCTGCTGGACACCTGAGGGCCACTGGCATGGTCAAGGCAAAAGCCTTGGGCCCCACTCCCATCTGCTGTACCTGACACAGGTTCCCTGTCCCAGTGGCAGTTGGTTTCCAGGGACCCATTCCTTCCTGGCATTTCTAGAGGCTTAGAGGCTGCTATTTCATGGAGCCTGGTTTGTCTCTTGTGAGAACACATGTGACATTTCTTGCTTGTGTGAACCAACACACCCCACTCACTTGTTAGAGACACTGACATGGCTGGAGAATACCTATAGACTTTAACCTAGAAGTCACAGCAGTAGCTAATCATGTTGATTAAAAAAAATCCTCAATATTTGGATTTTGCTTTTGAATGTGTTGGATGTGGTCACTGAGACCCACACCTTCTTGATGACCATCCATGAGAAGAGCTTTTCTGATGTGGTTGAATAGTTTTAAGCCTTATGGTTGCAAGAGGCTAAATAATATTCTGGAAAAATAAAGTGTTTGAAAAGCGATCATTTGAAAATCAGACCCTGAAGTTCAACTACCATGGAGATCACCCACCTCTCACCTGGAATGCATTTCTGACAACTAACATTAATGGCTGCCATTGTACCCTTGGTCCCTGGGGAGGTATCACCGAGAATCTGTGTTCAGGAATTTACACAGAACATACATCTTGGGGTCAAGTATTTCCATGCCTGAGTTCCACACCAAAAGATTTTGGTTTACCTGGATATTAGAAGGTTAAAAAGCTTTACCTAGGATTATGAGTCTCTGATTGCATGGAAGGTGGGTACTGAGTTTCAAAGATTGTTTTGTTTGTTTCAGTCTTTGAAATCTTTCAATTGTTTCAAAGATTCTTTTTGTCTACTGATACTTGATTCCAAAGCTAATTAAAGAGAGTAACAATAGGCCAGGCACGGTGGCTCATGCAAGCAATCCAGCACTTTGGGAGGCCGAGGCGGGAGGATCAAGAGTTCAGGAGTTTGAGACCAGCCTGACCAACATGGCGAAACCCTGTCTCTACTAAAAATACAAAAATAAAATTAGCTGCACATGGTGGCATGCACCTGTAATCCTAGCTACTCAGGAGGCTGAGGCCGGAGAACTGCTTGAACCCAAGGCAGAGATTACAGTGAGCTGAGATCATGCCACCACACTCCAGCCTGGGTGACAGAGCAAGACTCCCTCTTAAAAGAAAAAAAAAAAAAAAAAAACATAGTAACAATAGTATGGCAATTCTGTTCACATATACTCTTCAACTTTCCAATTAACTTTATAGAAATGAGCGAGGTTCAACGAGATGTCTACTAAGTCCTCGTACCTTTTCTGTCCCCAGGAGTGTCCTTACTTTACGCATATAAGAAGCAGAACTCCTAGGGAAGTAAAGGAAACACCCAAAGAGTTAATCATTCAACCAACAGCCCTGTGGCCATCTGAGGACTGACCCAAAAGCCTCAGGTCTCTCCACCGCCACACAGTTTTCCACTTGTCAACGGAAAAGATTACACTGAGTCACCGTGCCTTTCCCTCTCAATTTGCATTCTCAACAGATTCTCCATATCATGGCATCAGAGACATTTACAAATGTGTGTTTGTCCTCCTTCCCTGGACATGGCAGGGCTGTACTTCCTTGCCTCTTTAGAAGTTGGCTGGCTGGTGCGTGACTGATTTCACCACTGGCATGTGAGTGGAAGGGAATGCAGAACCACCCAGCAGGTGCCCTAAGAGCCAGCATGTCATTGGCCACATCCTCCATCACCTGTTGCTGCAAGTGTGTTAACTTCTACCAGGATGTCTCTTTTGCTTTCATTAGCCTAGATGGTGAAAATAAGTGATTCAAAATCTAAGCTATTGGAACTCGACATTTTTTTGAAACTTAAAGCAATGTAAATTACAGGCCTGAGTCCTGTGGCAGGCAGCCATAAGCTGTTGTTTGCTTTAATTACGTCTTTTACCTGGAATATTTTGTAAAATGATGTAACTGGTGAAGGGTGCCAGGGAAGATATCTTCCTTCTTTCTGTTAACTTTCATTATAGATTAACTTCCCTCTTATCATTCATTTTTTTAATTTTTAATTTTTGTGAGTATCTAGCAGGTGTGTATATTTATGGGGCACATGAAATGTTTGATATAGTCATGCAGTGCATAACAATCACATCATAGAGAATGGGATAGCATCCCCTGAAGCATGTATCCTTTGTGTTACAAACAATCCAATTATACTCTTTTGGTTATTTTTAAATGTACAATTAAGTTATTGATTATAGTCACCGGGCTGTACCATGGAATAATAGGTTTTATTGATTCTTTCTATTATTTTTGTACCCATTATCATCCCAACCCTCCTCCACTCCTCACTCCCCTTTCCTGCCTCTGGTAACCATTCGTCTACTCTGTATCTCCCTGAATTCAATTGTTTTAATTTTCAGATTCCACAAATAAGGGAAAACATGCAATTTTTGTCTGTCTGTGTCTGGCTAATTTCACCTAACATAATGTTCTGCAGTTCCATCCATGTTGTTGCAAATGACAGCATCCCTTTCTTTCCTGCAGTTGAATACTACCCCGTGGTGTATAGGTACCACATTTTCTTTATCCATCCATCTGTTGATGGTCACGTAGGCTGCTTTCAAATCTTGGTTATTGTGAACAGTGCTGCAGTAAACATGGGAATACAGAAATCTTTTTGATATACTGATTTCCTTTCCTTTGGGTATATATCCAGCAGTGGGATTGCTGGATCATGTGGTAGCTGGATTTTTTTGTTGTTGAGGAACCTCAAAACTGTTCTCCATAGTAACTGTATTAACTTAAATTCCTATTTTCCATATCCTTACCAGCATTTGTTATTGCCTGTCTTTTGGCTAAGAGCCATTTTAACTGGCGTTAAGCTACATTGTATTTTCGATTTGCATTTCCCTGATGATCCATGGTGTTGAGCATCTTTTCATATGTTTGCCATTTGTATACCTTATGTCTTCTTTTAAGAAATGTCTATTGAGACCTTTTGCCTATTTTTGATCAGATTACTAGATTTTTTCCTATAGGGTTGTTTGAGTTCCTTATATATCTGGTTATTACCATGGTCAGATGGGTAGTTTGCAAATATTTTCTCCCATTCTGTGGGTTGTCCTCTCACTTTGTTGATTGTTTTCTTTGCTGTAAAGAAGCTTTTTAACTTGATGTGATCTCAATTGTCTATTTTTGCTTTGGTTGCTGTGCTTGTAGGGTATTACTTAGGAGATTTTTGCCCAGGCCAATGTCCTGGAGATTTTCCCCAAAGTTTTCTTGTAGTAGTTTGATAGTCTTCAGACTTAAATTTAAGTCTTTAATCAATTTTGATTTGATTTTTGCATATGACAAGAGATAAGGGTCTAGTTTTATTCTTGTGTGTATGGATCTCCAGTTTACCTACCACCATTTATTGAAGAGACTCTTTTTCCTAGTGTATGTTTTTTCTCAAAAATGAGTTCACTGTAGGTGCATAGATTTGTTTCTGGATTCTCTATTCTGTTCCATTGGTCTATATGTCTGTTTTTCTTCCAGTACCATGCTGTTTGGGTTACCATAGCTCTGTAGTATAATTTGAAGTCAGGTAATATGATTCTTCCTGGTTTTTTTCTTCCTTTCTTTCTTTTTGCTTAGGATAGCTTTGGCTATTCTAGGTCTTTTGTGGTTTTATATAAATTTTAGAATTGTTTTTTTCTTTATCTGTGAAGCATTTTATTGGTATTTCAATAGAGATTGCATTGAATCTGTAGGTTGCTGTGGGTAATATGGATATTTTATAAATACTGATTCTTCTAACGCATGAACATGGAATATCTTTCCATTTTTGGTGTCCTCTTAAATTGCTTACATCAGTGTTTTATAGTTTTTATTGTAAAGATCTTTCATTTCCCCAAGTTAATTCTTAGGTATTTAATTTTATGTGTGACTATTGTGAATGGGATCAGTTTTTATTTCTTTTGCAGAGTGTTCAGCATTGGGCATATAGAAATGCTACTGATTTTTTATATGCTGATTTTGTATCCTGCAACTTAATTAAATTTGTTCATCATTCTAAAAGTTTGTGTGTTTGTTGGGGGGTGGAGTCTTCAGGTTTCTCCAAATATAAGATCATATAATTTGTAAGCAAGTATAATTTGATTTATTCCTTTCCAATTGGGATGCCCTTTATTTCTTTCTCTTGTCTGATTGCTGTAGCTAGGACTTCCAGTACTATGCTGAATAACAGTGGTGAAAGTGGGCATCCTTGTCATGTTCCAGATCTTAGAGGAAAGGCTCCAGTTTTTCCCCATTCAGTATGATACTAGCTGTGGGTCTGTCATATTTGGCATTTATTTTGTTAAAAAATGTTTATCCTATGCCCAGTGTTTTAGGGTTTTTAATATGAAGGGATGTTAAATTTTATTGAATACTTACAGCATTAATTGAAATGATCTAGTTTTTATTTTTTATTCTGTTGATATTATGTTTCACATTGATTGATTTTCATACGTGAAGCAAACCTTGCATCCCAGGGATACATCCCCCTTGGTCATGATTAATGATCTTGCTAATGTATTGATTCCAGTTTGCTAGTATTTTGTTGAGAATTTTTACATCAATATTCATCAGAGATATTGGCCTGTAGTTTTCTTTTTTCTTTCTTTTTTTTTTTTTTTTTGGATGTGTTTCTGTCTGATTTTTTGGAATAATTTGAATAGGGTTGGTATTAGTCCTTCTTTAAATGTTTGGTAGAATGCATTAGTGAAGCCATCAGGTCCCAGGATTTCTTTGTTGGGAGACTTTTTATTATGGCTCCAATCTCATTACATTTTATTTATCTGTTCAGATTTTGGATTTCTGTCTGGTTAAATCTTAGTAGGTTGTATGTGTCTAGAAATTTCTTCATGTATTCTAGATTTCCCAATTTATTGGCACATAGTTGCTCATAGTAGCCTGCAACAGTCCTTTAAATTTCTGCAGTTTGAGTTGTAATGTCTTCTTTTTCAATTCTGATTTTATTTATTTGGGTCTTCTCTCTTTTATTTTTGGTCACTCTGGCTAAGGATTTGTCAATTTTGTAAAACTTTTCAGAAAATCAACTTTTTTTGTTGATCTTTCATTCTGTAATTTTAATTTTATTTCTGCTCTGATCTTCATTATTAAAAGGACTTGGGTTTGTGATCTAAGCTGTGTCTACTCTTACTATGCCCAGTAATATTGTGGTTCTTGCAGACTCATATAGGTACCATCTTGATGGTCCTACACAACATCTGGTGCAATTCTCTGGGTTAGTAGGCAGAATCTCTCACTCCCTTTTACTACTTTCTTCCAAGGAAACAGAATCTCTCTTTCTGTGCAGAACCACCTGAAGCTGGGTATGAAGTGACACAAGCAGCCTTGTGGCCACCACCACTATCACTGTGCTGGGTGAGTCCTGAAGCCAAAACATCACTGGATCTTGCCCAGGGCCTGCTGTGACCGCTCCCTGGCTACTGCCTATGTTCACTCAAGGCCCTCAGACTCTACAATCAGCAAGTAGTAAAGCCAGGCAAGCCTGTGTCCTTCCCTTATGGCACCAAGTTATCGCAGTCTCTGGGGGGGTCCAGAGGTAAATCCAGGAGCCTGAGACTAGAGTCAAAAGCCTTAGAAGTCTACCTGATGTCCTGCTGTACTGCAGGCTGAGCTGGCACTCAAACCTCAAGATGACATCATTTCCACTCATCTCTCCCCTTTCTAAAGGCAGAGGAGCTCCACCCCATTGCCACCACCACCATAGTTCTACAAGGAGTACCGCCAGACCTATCACTCATGTACTCCTTAACACCCAAGGGCTCTTGAGTCAACTTGTGAATGCTACCTGGCCTTAGACTCACTGTTCAGGGAAGTGGGCTCTCTGTCCCAAGGCAGGTCCAGAAATACTGTCCAAAGGCAAGTTCTTGTATAGGGCACTCCAAGAGCTCAGTTGCTCCTCTAGCCCGCTGCAGCTGAGCTGGCATTTAAGGTGCAAGACAAAGTCCCCTTTATTTTTCTCTCTGTTTTTCTCAAACAGAAAGAATCTCACCTCATAGCCACCACAGCTAAGAATGTGCTGAGTCTCACCTGATACCAGTAAGTCTCAGAGCTTCACCCAAGGCCTCCAGTATAATACCTGTGTATTGATATCAGTTATTCAGGGGTCAAGGGGTCTTCCGTTAGCAGGTGATAAATCCTGCCAGGACAAGGTCCTTCCCTTCAAGGCAGCATGTTCTTTTCTGGCCAAAGGCATGTGTAGAAATGTTGTCCAGGAGCTAGGACCTGGAAAGAGGACCTCGCAGCTCTGACTGGTGCCCTATCTTACCATGGCTGTGCTGGTTTCCAAGACACAAGACAGAGTTCCCTTTCTTCTCCTATCTCCACTCCTCAAGTGGAAGGAAAGGGTCACTTTTAGAGCCCATGAGCTGTGCAGCTTGGGATTAGGAAAGTGGTGATGCCATACTCCCTTAGCTGTCCTGGCTAGTGTCTCAGTTGCTCACGTGCACCCAACCTGTTGTTTCTGTGCCCAGTTCAGCACTAGGACTCATGTAATTGTTGCAGTCCTTGTGGCTAGACTGCCTTTCAAGTTTATTAGGGCCCCAGGGCACCTTAGCCCACTGTGGTGAAGCTTGCAGGAACTCAGCTTCACTGCTGGGGCTGGTGATTCCCTTTGACTAGGGCTGGTTTATATGCTCCCTCTATAGGTAGGCATCAGCTCAGTTTCTTCTGGCCTACCTTTCTCTTCTAACAGGACAGCGCTGAGTTCAGTGCCTCACAATTGCAGTGCTCTCCCTCTGCCAGTTCACAGAGATGCTCTCGACACCACACTGTACTGCCAGGGGATGGTGGAGAGATGGTGTTGGTGATTCAATACAGTTTTTCCTACCTCTTTAGTGCCTCTTTCAGTTATATGAAGTTAAAGCCAGGTACCGTGAGTACTCACCTGAGTTTTAGTTCTTAGGAAGTTGCTTTCCTTTTGTAGATAGTTGTTCACTTGTTGTCCTTGCCACAGGGATGATCAGTGGAGCCTTCTATTCTGCCCCCTTTCTCTGCCTCCCTCCAATCCTCTTACTTTTTTCACACAGCCTTCATGGTTATCACAGTGACTTAAGATGGAATGTTACACTCTTTTCTATTGGAAAGAAAATGAAAACCAGATATAAAGAAAAGAAAACAGGCCACAGAGAAAAGAAAACAAACTGTGGATAATTAATTTATTATGACTCATAAGCCCAGCCTTGTGTAAAAAATGTTGTAATCCTGTTATATTTCTTTGTCTTATTTTATTAGTAAGAATTTGGCTTTTAACTTTTAAGCACTATCCCCATTTCTCTGGAGTGGTGCATCCCAGAATGACTATTCCTAGCTTTTTGATTAAATAAGCTCTTTAAATAGAAAATTGACCCTTCTGATTATTTCAGTTTGGCAGTACATTGATTATTACAGGCACAGTATCTTTGCCAGAGTGCACTGTGTAACCTGGAGAAAAACCTGAATTTCTGTTTCTAGGTTATACAATGCAGTCTGGCAAAGATACTGTGGTTTTAAAACCACTGAGATTTTAGATTGTTTGCTGCTGAAGCACCACAGTGTTTTTCTGACTGATACACTGTAACTCAACTTCTGAAACCTCTGTGGGGGAATTTGAAAATGTCTACTGGCTTGCTGAGCCTAACTTAGTCTAATATGTGATGATGATGATCCTAATAGAGTAACGTGTTTGACTTACCAAAAAGAGATTATTTTTCTTGTGTTATGGCTATAAAACTTGTTTATGACTTTATTTGGCAATTTCTGGGATTTGACCAATGTGATTTCTAGATTTCAATGTGTTTCAGAGTTTTATGATTCTAGGGCTGAGAATAACAGATTTTCTAGGCATTTTGGCTCTCGTGACAGCCAGCAAAGAAGGAGCAAGAGGTAGTTTTGCGATCTAGCGGTCAGTGATTTGAGCCAACCCCCGCAGAACCTGTGTGAGAAGCTTCACACAAAGCCAATTTCCCCCTCTGAGGTTTCATTTTATTGGGTTTAACATTTTATACCTGATATTCAGTTATTAGCTTATACATGTGGCAATGAACTAAGTAGATGGCATTTAGCTGAGATCATAGGCACAAAATTACATTAAAAATTACGATAGCAAGGTTCATTTACCGTAGCTGCTTGCTAATGAAGATATATAACTAATGGAGAAGCTTAGCCCTTAACAGGAACTTCTACCTGAGATTGCAAAAAATACAGAAGCCACAAGTAAACTAAGACAAAGCTGTGAAAAATTATTTCGAATTAAACATCAATCAGGTATTTTCTGAACCTCAGACTGAAATAAAAAGCGCCCCTAGTTGTATAACCAAAGAATACAGGCATAACTCTTTCTGATGCGATCTTAGACTAATTTGAATTTGAATTCAAAGTTGTCAGTATACTCTGCCCAGTGTTCTTGTTCTTTAAAAATGCAATTCCTTGTATCTTTGCTCTTGGTTCATGTGTTCCAAAATAGGGTAATACAAAACCAATCAGCACTCAATCTTTAGAATAATGGCTGTGACAGCAACAAGCACGTTCTACATTTGTTCTCTTTCTTCTGCTGAAGATTTGAACATATGTTGACCTGCCAGAGTCAAAGCAGGGCCCATAGCTTGTCTGATATCTGGAACTGCATCTTTCTTTTTAGCAGACTCCATGGTGTGTACTTGCATTCTAGAAGCACATGGTAAAACTGAAGGAAAAAGTCATATCTTTTGGTTATTCACAGGAATGCTTTCAAGAATAAGTAGAACATAAAAATCATGAAATGGGCTGGGCAAGGTGGCTCACGCTTGTAATCCCAGCACTTTGGAGGCCAAGGCGGGTGGATCACAAGGTGAGGAGATGGAGACCATCCTGACTAACATGGTGAAACCCTATCTTTACTAAAAAGATACAAAAAATTAGCTGGGCATGATGGCATGCACCTGTAATCCCAGCTACTCAGGAGACTGAAGCAGGAGAATTGCTTAAATCTGGGAGGCAGGGGTTGCAGTGAGCCACGAAAACGTCACTGCACCCTAGCCTGGGTGTCAGAGCGAGACTGTCTCAAAAAAGGAAAAGTCATGAAATGACAATTTTTGAGGCTGTTAGGTTGGAGGCAGTAATGTGCAAAACAGCGAGGCCAAATAAACAAATGAGGGGATTCCAGGGGCCCACGGAAGCATAAAGTACAAAGAAGTTTCTCAGCCCAGGGACAGCAGATTGCAGAGTCTCACCATGTTAGCTAACAGCCTGATACCACTCACCTGTTGGGTCACAGTTCAAACAATGAGTCTTGAGAAACCCAGAGGGGAATCTGGTGGAATATTCTGATGGCAAGGATTTTTTATAGGCATCGAACATTAGCCAACGTATTGTTTTGTGTGCAGCGTCCTGCTGTCCACAGTAATAGCATGTAAATTATATTTTGGGTATTGATGTTCACTCAGTTCTTAAAGAGTATTTATTGCATGCCTATGTGCTAAAACTGGGCTGTAAAAATTAAAAAGGTCAAGATTTTTTTTTTCAAGAGGAAAAATCTAGTTGGCTCTGAAGGTTTAGTTTCTTTCTTCTTCTAGGAGTTCATTACATGAGTGGATCAGCAGGTCAGAGTTAATTCAATAGAACAGACTGATAACAGCCACTGCTAACTCTTCCTGATAAAGCCACTTTTAAACTAGACAGCATCCATTGATACTAGTTACAAGAGTGCTCCATGCTCCCAAGCTATATACATATGTAGAGCATCAGAGACATGAAGGCACCATATACCAGCTTGTTGGCAATAGGTATGAAGTCTATGACGTAGGGTAGTGAGAGTTCAAGGGTGCATGTGCCTCCCACTTCTCTGATCCTAAGCTCATCCCCAGTAAACTCCAAGCTCTATCTGTGCCATATGCTAGAGGTCTTGACATTAACCCCTTTGCACAGCTTAGGAGGGGCACAGACAAGTAAATAGCCAAACAACGTAGTCTTAAAGTAAAGTAAAGCAATATTATTTTTCACTGCTGAGAAAAAGAGCACTAATACCATCTGCATTCTATGGGGAAATTTCATGAAAGTTCTGTCCATTAAGAGGGTCCCTAAATACTGAGAAAAATTTGGATAGAGGCAGGGAGGAGGCATTTGAGGTGAAGGTATGTGGCTAACAAGAGTGTAGGGTGCTTGGCTGGTAAGAAGCTTTTAGGGCTTGGATGTGTACGTGTATTCTCGGCAAATCACATCTGCCCTTTGCTAAGGACACAGAAGTAACCCTGAATTGTTTTATGCCACAGACTCCCTAGAAATATGAACATCAATAGAAGAGTTATAAATACGAAATCCTACAACATAGAGCTGAAATGCCTCTAAGATCTATTAGAATATGCTTTCTCTTCATTCTGGTTTTCCACCTTTCTTTCAAGGCATTGCTTTCTCTGAAGGGGGCAGCCTTGAGCTTCTATACCTAGCACACACTGTTAAACATTCATATAGTTTTAAAAGTTTGGGTTTTACTGCATTTTTCTTATAACTTTGGTTTGGTATTTGATGGTAATAGGTAGGTTCTTTACCTTCTTTTCTTCCAGCAAGCAGGGTTTGCATTTATGTCTTCTGGAGGCTCTGGGGTTTGCATCTGTTGCTAAAATAGTGTCAAAGTTGTCGGCATCAAAGGAGAAAACTCAGTCCCCTTTAACGTTTCTAAGAAAACACCTGTGTCTAAATGCCAAGTAAACTATTTAATAATAATGTGTCATTCCATAAAGAATTTTAATTTTTCAATAAAGTTTTTTGATGTCACTTAAGCAGAATAAATACCAGGAAAAAAATAGAAAGGTCACCCAACTGATTCTTTCTCAAAAACACATAATACCATTGACTAAAGTAAGAGTTTTAATTCATCGAAATTTCTCTGAACTGTTGAAGAAATGTTTTATAGATCTGAGGTTATGTGAAGATTATAAACTTAATACAACTTGACTTCATATACCCTAGCTTCTGCCTATAGACCTTGAATTGGTAAAAAGGGCAGATGCACAAGTTATATTAAATGTGAAGTTAATATCCATCATTTCATTCCAACCACTTTCTTTTCTTAACATGAAATTCACTTTGACCTTCTTTAATAATAATTTCTAGTATCTGGAAGAGGGCAGGGGAGTATGACATAATGAATGTCACAAAGTATTGGACAGGCAAGGTTAGAAGTGAGGGAAAGCCCACCTAGAATGTTAAACCTAGCTAAATTTATATTATAAGGGCAAAATACAGACATATTTAGTTTAAACAAAATTAAATACAATCTTTTTCAACCAACTTTCTCTACAATATATTATAGAGAAATGTCTTCAGGTTGAAGGAAAATTATAGTACATGAAAATTTGTATATACATAAAGGAATATGCAGACTTGGAAATGATAAATATCTATGTAAATAACACAAGCATTTTAGAATTCTATTTAAAATATAATTAACAGTTTAAAGGAGCAGTTCTCAAACACTTTTGTCTCACCATACCTTTGAGGTTGTGAAAATTATTGCGGATCCAGATAATCTGTTGATGTGGTTTATATCTACTAAGAGTTTCTGTATGAGAAACTAAAACTGGCATATTAATTAATAATATCTATTAATGAAAATATTTATTTATTTAATTAAAAACTAGTAATAACCCAATTTCATATTAACAAGAATAATATCTTTTTAAGAAAAGTAACTACATTTTTCAAAAGAGAAAATTAGTGAGGACAATGGTATCTTTAAAAATATTTTCCAAACTCTTTAATGACAGACTTAATAAGGAACAGCTAAAGCATAATATGTGCTTTTGCATTCAATCTGTTGCAATATTGTAAATCATGTAGCTTTTGAAAAACTCCCCTTTTGAGAGAATGAAATGAAAAAGTAAGCAGTGTTTTACAATTGTGAAAATAGTTTCAATCTCATGTATACCCTGAAAAGATCTTGTGAACCACAGAAGACCCCAGACTGTACTTTTAGAACTACTTGTTTGAAGCAAACATAGTAGGAGTATACTTTGAAGTTTATGACATACGTAGAAATAAAATATATGAACACATTAGTATATAGGTTGAAAGGAAAAAGTGAAAGTAAATTTTGTATGATTCTTATGCTTTACCTTGGGCTCTATAAGATAATTTAGAAGTAACCTATGGTAAGCTAAATATGTAAATTGGAATGCCTAGAGCAATTATTAGATTAAATAAATAAAACAAATTTAATAAATAATCTAAAAGTGGAGAATATTAAAATATAACATTAAAAATAATCATTTAATCTTAAAGAAGACAGGAAAGAAGAAAATATGAATACATGGCACATATAGAAAATAAACAATAAAATGTTAATAACGTGCCAAAAATATCATAAATTGCATTAATTGTAAATGGTTCATAATCAATGACTTAAGCTTCTACATTAAAAAGCTAGAAAAAGAAGGAAAGACCAAGTTTGACCAAAACAAGTATAAGTAAGGAAATAATAAGAGTTTAAACAACAAAATAGAAAACAAAGCAAAAACATGGAAAATCAATAAATCAAAAGCTTGATCTTTTGGATCAGTAAAATTTAAAAATTCTAATTACACCGGCAAAGGAAAAAAGAGAAGTGAAAAGATTACTAAGATCAGAAATGAAAGATGGACTATCCTAGAAATCCTTTAGAAATTAGAATAATGTTAAAATAAGTGTGATGTGATGCTGAGACTGTATATTCTGTTGATTTGGGGTGAAGAGTTCTGTAGATGTCTGTTAGGTCCACTTACTCCACAGCTGAGTTCAAGTCCTGAAATATTTGTTAATTTTCTGTGTCATTGATCAGTCTAATATTGACAGAAGGGTGTTAAAGTCTCCCACTATTATTGTGTGGGAGTCTAAGTCTCTTTGTAGGTCTCTAAGAGCTTGCTTTATGAATCTGGGTGCTCCAATATTGGGTGCATATATATTTAGGATAGTTAGCTCTTCTTGTTGCATTGATCCCTTTACTGTTATGTCATGCCCTTCTTTGTCTTTTCTGATCTTTGTTGGTTTAAAGTCTCTTTAATCAGAGATAAGGATTGTAGCCCCTGCTTTTTTTTTTTTTTCCATTTGCTTGGTAGATATTCTTTCATCCCTTTATTTTGAACTTATGTGTGTCTTTGCATGTGAGATATGTCTCCTGAGTACAGCACACCAATGGGTCTTGACTCTTTATCCAATTTGCCAGTCTATGCCATTTAATTGGGGCATTTAGCCCATTTACATTTAAAGTTAATATTTTTATGTGTGAATTTGATCCTGCCATTATGATGCTAGCTGGTTATTTTGCCCGTTAGTTGATAGGTCTTTTCATAGTGTTGATGGTCTCTGCAATTTGGAATGTTTTTGCAGTGGTTGGTACCAGTTTTTCCTTTCCATATTCAGTGGTTCCTTCAGGAGCTTTTGTAATGCAGGCCTGGTGGTGAGTAAATCTCTGAGCATTTGCTTATCTATAAAGAATTTTATTTCTCCTTTGCTTATGAAGTTTAGTTTGGCAGGATACAAAATTCTGAGTTGACACATTGCCACGTATGTACCTATGCAACAATTCTGCATGATCTGCACATGTACCCCAGAATATAAAGTACAATTAAATTTTATATATATATATATATATATATATATATACATACATATTTTAAAAAATGAAATTCTGTGTTTAAAATCCCTTTTTTAAAAATGTTGAATATTGACCCCCACTCTTGTCTGGATTGTAGGGTTTTGGCAGATCTGGTGTTAGTCTGATGGACTTCCTTTTGTGGGTAATCCAATCTTTCTCTCGGGCTGCCCTTAATATATTTTCCTTCATTTCAACCTTGATGAATCTGAAAATTATGTGTCTTAGGGCTGCTCTTCTCAAGGAGTATCTTTGTGGTGCTCTCTATATTTCCTGAATTTGAATGTTGGCCTGTCTTTCTCGGTTGGGGAAGTCCTCCTGGATAATATGCTGAAGAGTGTTTTCCAGTTTGATCCCATTCTCCCCATCGCTTTCAAGTACACCAATCCAACATAGGTTTGGTCTTTTCACATAGTCCCATATTTCTTGAAAGCTTCATTTGTTCCTTTTTATTCCTTTTTCCTCTAATCCTGTCTTCAGGTTTTATTTCACTAAGTTGATCTGCAATCTCTGATATCCTTTCTTCTGCTTGATTGAATTGGCTGTTGATACTTGTGTATGCTTCATGAAGTTCTCATGCTGTAATTTCAGCTTCATCAGGTCATTTATGTTCTTCTCTAAACTGGTTATCTTAGTTAGCAATTCCTTTAACCTTTTTTCAAAGTTCTTAGCTTCCTTGCATTGGGACCACGTACATTTAGCTAGGAGGAGTTTGTTATTACCCATTACTGAAGCCTATTTCTGTTAATTCATCAAACTCATTCTCCATCCAGCTTTGTTTCCTTGCTGGCAAGGGGTTGTGATGCACTGTAGAAGAGGCATTCTGGTTTTTGGAATTTTCAAACTTTTTGTACTGATTTTTCTTCATCTTTGCGGATTTATCTACCTTGGGTCTTTGATGTAGGTGACTTTGGATGGGGTTTCTGTGTGGATGTACTTTTTGTTGATGTTGATGCTATTCCTTTCTGTTAGTTTTCCTTCTAACAGTCAGGCCTCTCTGCTGCAGGTCTGCTGTCTTTTGCTGGAGGTCTACCCCAGACCCTGTTTGCCTGGGTATCACCAGCCAAGGCTGCAGAACAGCAAAAATTGCTGTTTGTTCCTTTCTCTGGAAGCTTCATTCCAGAGGGGCAGCTGCCAGATGCCAGCCTGAGCTCTCCTGTACCAAGTGTCTGTCAAGACCCTGCTGGGAGGTGTCTCCCAGTCAAGAGGCAAGGGGGTCAGGGACCTACTTGAGGAGGCAGTCTGTCCACATAATTGAAAGTAAAACATTCCTCAGCAAATGCAAAAGAACAGAGATCATAATAGTCTCTCAGACCACAGTGCAATCAAATTACAGCTCAGGATTAAGAAACTCACTCAAAACCACACAACTACATGGAAACTGAACAATGTGCTCCTGAATGACAACTGGTAAATGAAGGCAGAAAAAAGAACAAAATGAAGGCAGAAATAAAGAAGAAACAAATGAGAGCCGAGACACAATTACAAGAATTTCTGGGACACAGGTAAAGCAATGTTTAGAGGGAAATTTATAGCACTATGTGCCCATAAAAGAAAGCAGTAAAGATCTAAAATCGACACCCTAAGATGACAATTAAAAGAACTAGAGAAGCAAAAGCAAACAAATTCAAAAGCTAGCAGAATACAAGAAATAACTAAAATCAGAGAGGAATTGAAGGAGATAGAGACAAAAAAAACTTTCAAAAAATCAATGAATTCAGTAGCTGGTTTTCTGAAAAGATTACCAAAATAGATAGACTACTAA